GGTAACCTTGAGCTATATTGCTGTATTTGAACACAGAACTCTGTCCCTCTTCACACATCCTTACAACTGCTTGCCCAGCTGTCTAACCAGAGAGTACTGATCTTGAAAATAGAGCCCATCGGTTGTTGGCTCCATAAGTTAACAAATTATTTTTACTTTCCTTTTTTTAATTTTTATTTTCATTAGTACAAGTCTGCAGTACATAATGATGACATTCATCATGGGGAGTCGATACATACATGAGCATAACACATCTTAATTTTTTTTTTTTGGTGCCAGAGATCTAACTTGGGACCTTGTGCATTTGAGGCAGCCAGCACCACTGAGCTAAATCCCCGACCCACAACTTAATTCTTTTTACATCCCTTCCCCCTCTTCTACCTCCCCAAATAAATTATTTAAAAGAAACTTAATGAATAAGTCCATTGAAGGGGAATACACATATACCCATAAAATGTAAAATATAGCATGTCCACAGGACAAATTTTTATGTAATTCTTTAATATCAGACTTGTGATCCAAAACTTCTAATATGATTTTAGATGTTGCAAACTGAAGGTCAGTAGTTCCTGAAACAGTTGTTAGAGCAAAGATAAACCACCCAAGATGGTATCTCAATGGACAATTCCATTATCTCTGTAAGTAAAACGTTAACGTTTTTGCTCTGTATCTTGGAATTCCAGGAATGAAAATCACATCTGACATTAAATAGGCGCTTTATTCACATATATATCATATTATTAAGTTAAGAAATTGAAATCAACTTAAATGGCTTTCAGGATCGTCTACACTTTATCACTTTGCAATGCTTTAAAGAAGGTAATTGGAGTTGGGGGTGTGGCTTGATGGTACAGCACATGCTTATCATGCACAAGGCCCAGGCTCGGTTCCTAGCACGGAAACAAAGCCAAGCCAACCCACTGGGTAGCCACGGTCGGTTGAGTAGAAGGGACCTTAGGTTGGAGATATCCAGTCCAAACGATTTGTTGGCAGAGCGAAGTGCATCCCCACAAAAGCTTAACAGAAAATCTGGTTGCCAGATATATGCAGAACCCTTCTGCTTAAACCAATCTAATTGCTCCTGGGGACAAACATCAGCGATCCAAGCTCTCTCCACCGAATTATTTCCCCAAACTGCGAGCGCCGTCCAGCAGTGCAGTGCAGCACCGCCACCTAGTGGCCCTTTTGAAGAACTTTCTTGCTGCCAACACCACAGCGCTGCAGGGTTGGTGACCTTTCCCTTCGTTTTATTTTATTTAAACCATCAGGACCAAGGTATGACCTTAAAACCACTTCTACCTTATTACAGGAAATTCTCTGATTCAAGATTACTATGCATCTAAAATTAGGAACCATCTATTATAAAGCCAACTGGAACTAGAAACAATTTACACTGTGGAGCAGCAACCTCCATCTTCATATCTTTCACTTTAAACAAATATCTCAAATTATTTAAACAGCACTGTTTTTTATTCTGCTGCTTCCTATATGAAAAAAAAGGCCAGACTGGAATTTATAGTATCAAGGTGACACGCACCATTTTACAGAGATATTTCACATGAGATGGAAAAGTGAATAAAATGTGAAATAGGAACCACAGCATTTATTTGCCATAACGCTTGGGGTCATGGCTCATGAAACGTAACTTGTAACCTCTCCCTGAAGTAAGAGTACATTTGTTCATTTCGGAGAGAAAACTAATAGGAATACTGAAAGTAGTATCTTACGGGAAGCTCATTCCTAAGCAGAAAACTCAATGAATCAGGCCTAGGCTTAAAAACAAAACCGTAGGTACAAGAAGCCCTGCTGCAGGCTGAGGGTCTCCCCATCCAGGTACAAGGACATTTTTAGATAATTGCTAACGACTACTTGATTATGCCAAGACACCTGGTGTTGAACATTCCCTGAGCTCATAAACAGACAAAACTGGACCTGAATTCTACAAGAGGAGAAAGTCGGAGAGACTCCCCTGTAGTCCTGGGCTATTCTGTCCTGTGTTTCACACCAGACCAGGGTGCTGCCTATGAGCTCGGGTAACCTGGTCCAGAATGAGATTCCCTAGGTGGCCCATCCTTATTATTCTCAGACAGTTGGAAATCAATTCTTGGCTCTTGTGAACAGTGCTCCAATGAGCACTAAAGTGCCAACATCTCTTTGGCACATTGATTTCAACTCCTTTTGATATCTACACACTAGTAATTCTACCTTTAGTTTTTCGAGGAATCTCCATACTGTTTTTCAAGACAGCTACATAGATTAACAATACCAACAGTGTATCCTACTTTGAATATTAATGTATGTAGATATCAAGACATTACATTGTCCAGGCATGGTGGAGCACACCTGTAATCCCAGCTACTCAGGAGGCTGAGCCGGGAGGATCACAAGTTCAAAGTCAGCCTGGGCAACTTAAGCAAAAGCCTGTCTCAAAATAAAATTTGAAAAGGAATGAGGATTAAACCCAGTAGTAGACTGCTTGCCTACCATGCTTGAAACCCTGGGTTCAATCCCCAGCACTGGGGGTAGGGAGAACACCACATTGTCTTTTTTTGCCTATTAAAAATAAAAGCCTGAGGGTGTAACTCAGTGATAGAGCACGGCTTAGCATGCATCAGGCTGTGGCTTCAATTTCCAGCACCAAAAGAATATTTTTAAAAATTTAAGAAAAGAAAAAAAAACAGAAGACCTAAAGAAAAAAATGGGAGTGATAGGTTAGAAATATAAAGCATAGCCCGAATTATAAATGTCACTTAATGGTTAGTCAAGAGAAAGTGGGGAAAAAATCTTAAATCATTTGTTAGTGCAGAAATTACTAAGAGAAGTGTGAATGTTCAATTCTAGAAATACTTTCTGTAGCTTACACTGGGGCTGAAGAGAAACGAAGTAGCTGTGAACAACAGCAGCTCAACTCAGAGGAACCAGGGGGAGGAAGGTTTTCGTGTTTTAGGGTTTGTCTCCCTCTTCTGCTTTTCGCCAGTCACAAAATTAGCAATGAGCTCTGGCCTCTTGCGAGTTAGCTGAGAAGACTGTCCTTCAGCGGCATGAAAGAGAGACATTTGCTTGAGTTTCCTTTGGGAAGAAAGGGTATCTGAAAGGAACTTATAAAATTATAGCCTCTTCCTGAAGATTGAACTAACTTAGTTTATGGAAAAGTGTAGGGAGCTCCCTTTGATCAAAGGCATCACTGATTTCAGAATAAAAATCAGAAAACAGCCTGCATTGTTAGGTCTAAGGGGGCCCAAATGCTGTCATTTGGCTCTCGTTAAACCTTCTTTTCCCGATAATGATCGTTTCTAAGTATTCTCTCATTAGCATTCTTTTTCTCAGCGGTGATACCGGGTAAGAATACACACTTTGCTCTCAATATGCCATTTTCCTTCTGAAGTTTTTAAATGCCCCCTGAGCATTGTCCTTCCCCTCATTTTCCCTCGTGCTTCAATGAAGTGCCAGATTTCCCTTTGTGGGCCTGAAAGATCAGAGCAGGGGGCCAGGAAGAGGAGGCCATCAAGCACATGGCCTGCAGCGGGCCAAGCCCTTTATCCCGCTGGCAGGTCCTACCATCTGTGCACTTATTACCGCAGGGAACAACAGCAACCCTGTGTCAGGCAGCTGAATCTTTAGACGTTGGACCGGTCCACAGCCTTCTTTTATACACCAAAGCCAGGCTCCTGGTTGCTAAGGATACCTTCTTGCCACAGCCTGGGAAGCAGAGACCCTAACAAAAGGTGGGGGCCGCTGAACAGAATCCTCCCATGAGGCCGTCTGATCTGTGTTGATTTTTTTATACCTGAGTGTGAGTCGAAAACGATCTCACACTTTTTTAATGGCATCCAAGCCCAGGTTGTTGGAAAATCATTCCAGAAATCTCAGAAATCAATCCTAATAAAAAATCAAATTCCAGGCCAGGGATGTAACTCAGTGGCACCACACCTACCTCACAAGCCGAAGGTCCCGAGTTCAATCCCCGGTACCAAAAACAAAAAAAAATCAAATTCCACAGCCGAGCGTGCAACACTGGAATTGTCCCAGCTGGGGTTAGCAGTACGCGATTCTAAGAGGAGAAATGGGCAGAGCCCACCAGGTACATGGCCTGGAAACCCACCTCCAGCTACAGCCTAGCTTCCTCTCCTGCTGACCCACCAGGGCCTACAACCCCATTTCACACAAAACATAAAGGGGAGGAGGAGAAGCTGTTAGGATGTTAATTCTGTATGTATGAGTTATGTGGACGTTACTTATTAAAACATAACTCTGAAAAGCCAAAGGTGTATTTTATGGTTTGGATCTAGAATGCCCCCCTAAAGCCTCCTGTGTTCGGAGGTGGCCCTGGGCCAGGGTTTGGGTCACAGGGTGCTACAGTGTACTCCTGAGTGGGTTCATACTGCATGTGCTGCGAGAGTCAGGGTCTCACTGAGTGGCTACTCTGGGCTCGAGGACGTGTCCCTCTGAATCGAAAGCTTCATCATTTGTGACTTCTCGTGCTAAATCAGAAAGCAGATCCGAGCTACTATCCCGGTAACCGGCCCTGCCTGATTCTCGAGGGGAAAGAAAATTGCGTCTACATAACCGAGGCAGGAAAGGGTGCGTCCGGCACTCAGATCACGGGCCAGGGTGCCTTTCCACACACAGCAGCCACACTTGGCAAGAACATGGGTGTCCGGGGCTCAGGCTCCCCGAAGGGAAAGGCCTGCATCTATCACCAGGAAATCAACCCGGGCCGGGAGAACAGTTGCCATGAGGAGAATCCAGAGTTCGAACAGGAAAATGGTGAAATTGGGGACCGCCTGCAGGAAAGGAAGCTGTAGCCTGAACTTCCCACCATCCTGAGCCTAATTTTTTAGAAATTATGACTGGCTAACCTAGAAGAATTGTTGACAAGATGCCAGAGAGCTACTTGTGGGGCACGAATGGACCCAAGTGGTCCAAGCAGTAAGCAATAGCAATGCCCATGATATGGCACCTTTGTCTCCTGTCTCCTGCATTACCTTCAACTTCAGCAACACCTTCCTTCCAGAGCTGGGTGTGGTGGGACATGCCTGTAATCCCAGCACTTGGAAGGCTGAGACAGGAGGATCACTGCAAGATTGGGAGCTCCACAGCAAGAACCTGTCTCAAAAAAAGAAGAAAAAAAGAAAGACATCACCTTCAAAGATTTTTTTTTTCCTTTTGGAGTTACTTTCCTCATCAACCATTTATACTCAAATCCTCATCCCAGTTCTTCTTGGGGGAAACCCAAACCCAGACATGAGAGGAGGTTTCCCCCCAGTTCTCAGTGTGGATTCCAGAGGGGCAGGTGGTGCTGCCATATTGCTTCTTGAGGTATAATTTACATACTAAAATTCACTCCTTTGCAGTGCACCATTAAATGATTTTTAGTAAATTCGTAGTTATACAGCCATCCCCACAGTCCAGCTTGAAAACATTTCCCTCACCCTAAACAGATCTCACTGCTCAGGAGTATGAATCCCCAGTTCCAGCCTGGCCCCTGCTAACCACTCGGCTACCTGCTGTCTATAGATTTGCCTTTTCTTGATGTTTTTATACATACAGAATCATAGAATACGCAGGTTCTGCATCTGGCTTCTGGCTTCTTTTATTTAACATAATGTCTGTGAGACTCATCCCTTTTGGAACGCATACCAGTCATTTGTTCCTTTCCTGGCTGAGTAATATTTATGGTATGGATGATCCCATGTTACCTATCTGTTCACCAGATGATGGACATCTGAGTCGTTATCAGTTTGTGACCATCACAAACGATGCTGTTCTGAACACTAATGTACAACCCCTGTTTTGAACATGGATTTGCTCTGGATAGACACCAGAAATAGAATTGCTGGAGCACATGCCAAATTTACTTTTAACTTGTTGACTGTTTTCCAAAGTGGCTGCAGTGCATGTTAATCTACTTGCTGTAAGTCTTCCTACTGTTAATGTAGTACACATTCCACCTGACAATTATTATCATGAAAATTAGGTTTGTTTCTGGTGGCTTTTTGTTTGTCTGCTGGTTGATTGGTTGGTTGGTTGGCTGGGTGGTGGGTTGGTTGGTTTTGCTTGCCTTTGCAGCACTGGGAATCAAACCCCAGGCTTTGCACATGTTAGGCAAATGCTCTACCCCTGAGCTATGTACCCAACACCAAAAGTTAAGTTTTAAAAGATCCAACCAGTGATATTACACAATATCCCACACTCCAAATTTGACTTGATTTCTTTGGGACATTGCTTAACTTGGTTCTCTATGCCCTATATTTCCAGGAACTGGAATTAAAGCCTGAAGGTTTGTTCTTATTCAGGTTAACATTTATACAGAGAATTCTATATTGTCTGATAGTCCTACTGCTAGTTATTTCAAAACTGATCACTATTTTGAGATGGTAAAACCAGATCTCTCCATTTTAGAGGTATTTTTAACCTTAGAAATTAGTAATTATCCTTAGGGTAGTTCCACACCTGTTGCTGTTAAAAAAAAAAAAGACAGATATTTTAAATAATTTTTAAAATATTACGAATATCAAGATGATGATTGAAATTAAAAGTGTAATATTTTCAAGACCTGTATAGGACTTCCAGGAAGACGGTGGAGTGGTGAACACCAGAGAAACAGCCTCTCTGGGATTTGGTGTCCGGATGCTGGAATATAGCAGCGTGAGGACGAGAAGAAGGAGGAAGTGGGTCCCTGGGACCCAGCAAGGATCTGAAGCAAGAACTGAAGCCCATGGCGGGAGCAAAGAGAGACTTCAACATAGAAAAAGGAGGTGGCAAGCAGAGGTTTCTCCCTGAGCCCTGATTCATTTTGTGGGAAAGAATGGCTCCAATCTGCAGATGCACAGTGACTACTAGTGACTCCAGAAATCCACCAGTGGAATGGAACAGTGGATGCAGGAGACTGCAGTGGCTGGTGAGTTATTTGGTTTAGCTGTCGCCCAGGAGAGGATGATTGGTCAGTTGCCATAATGCAGAGGGGCTAACCGAGCTCAAAATTCAGAGCAGCTATGGGTTCGCCCAATCTAGGAGCTCCCATTGTCACAGTGAGGCAGAACCAAGTTCAAGCCAAGAGGAGGTGAAGGAGACCAGTTCAAGCTGAGAGAGAGCCCAGTTCAAGATGGCAGGAGATAGATGGAGTGTACAAATCCAGTTGCAGTCTCACAGCAAAAAAACAACCTAAACTTCTGTGGAACTAAAAGTGCAGGCCTGCTAGGATTGTCTACTACACCACTGTAAATCTGCAGCTGACTTGCTGGGATTAATCAACATGGATCTCGGCTCTGACTATCAGCAACAGCAGAGACACGCCCTGAAGTGGACTTTTTTTTCTTCTCGTCTTCATTCTCTTTTGTTTTATTCTTTTTTTCTTGATTGTTCTTGTTTTTATATGAATGAGAATATTATTTTTAGTTTGTAGTTGTTGTTCTGTCCTGTTCTTTTTTTTTTTTTTTTTTGGTACCATGGATCAAACTTGGGACCTTGCGCTTGTGAGGCAGGCGGCAGAACCACTGAGCTAAATCCCTGGCCCTTATGTCCTGTTCTTTTTATTTCTTCCTTCTCTCTTTCCCTTCTCTTTCACCAGTTTCCCAAAGTTCACATGATCTTCCCTTGTCCTCCATCCTTGCTTCTAATCTCTTCCTCCTCTTCTATTTCTCTATTTTTTGCTCCTAACCCCATTTAAATTTTCTACCCTGAGGGTAAAATTCCCATATTGAGGGCATATCTACTGTATAGAATTTTCTGGTTTGTTTTAGATTTTGTTATATAACCATAAATCTAGTTTACACAGTTAAAAGTGGCAAATTAATAGTTACCACAGTTCATCATTTTCTAGGCTGTCTTTGATGTTATTGTTATCACTGATTGTACTACTTTAGCCAAGGTGACAGAACTGTTCTAACCAGTTGTTTTTCCTGACAGCAAAGACTGGGATTGCCTGAGGGTCATAAATAATACTATAGGCAAGTGGCAAATAAACAGGGGCTAGGCCAAAGAGGCAGCAACTTCTCATCCCCTATAAATTGAAGAGGTAGGATCTTGCAGCAGACTCAAAACCCAAAAGCCAGCTACACCTGGAAAACATCTATGAGAAGTAGTCATTTACTAAGGATTCTCAATACTACCATTAAAGCTACCTGCTCATAGTTCTCCTGAGTGAGACCCCTGCCCAACCAAGAGAGAAAAACCCCCGACAGATGCACTGCCTGCAAGAATAGCAATGACAGGAAGCCAGCTACCACCTAGCTCCTTCACACCTGCAAGGAGACTGATTGTTGGAAAAACCACAAGGCACCCACTGCACCTGCCACAATCCTTCTACCCTACCCCATCCTCCTTACCATCCTCAAGAGACCCATCACCCAAGAGACCCCAAAATTTTCCACCTTCCAAACTGATACCCCCTCCCCTACTTAAACTCCCCTATATAAACTGTGCCCACCCTCCTTCCTATGCCAAAGGCCTTTTTGCCCTTGGCCCATCTGCATGGAGATGGCAATAAACTCATCACATGCTGCTTAGATTTCGCCTGCCTTGGCGATCTCACTCATGCTCCGGTCAAATCTTACACCTGATATAACCAATTTACAAGCATCAACCCAGGAATTAAACTAAAAATATATAGAGAAAATGAGAAGACACAGAAGCAAGATGCAACTCCAAATTTCCAGCTCACCAAAGGCAAATCCAGGGGACAATGAGGTGGAACAATTCAAAAGTAACCCACCTGGACTCTCAGAAGTGGTAACAGAGGAAGTAACAAAGCAGATGAATTAAGCTCTAGAAAAAATCAAATCAGAATAGTTTCTCAGATAAATACAGAGATTATTACCAAAATCAAGGAAACGGTTAAAGACACTAGAGCAGATACAGATTTTAAAAATATATATATATACATATATATATATATGTGTATATATATATATAAGCTTAGGAAAATAATACAAAACATGAACCCTCCAACATAAGAAACAAATGGAATCCATTAAACAGATTCAAATAGATATCCATGAGATTAACAATTCCACTGAAAGTATACACAGCAGAATGAGCCAATGTGAGGACAGAATATCAGATGGAAAAGACAGGATTGCAGTTAGCTCTCATGAAAAGAAAGATTTCTTAAATATAGCAAAGGACCACAAAAAATCAATCCAACAGCTGCTAGATGATGCAAAGAATAGCATAAGATTGCTCAGAGAAAATTAAAAAGTAGGACATAGCGCAAATGACATTAAAAAACCTGTTCACAGAAGTAATGGCAGGAAACTTCTCAAGCAGGGAAAAAGAATTTGACGTACAGATAGGTGAGGCACATAAAACTGTAACTGGCCATGATCCTCCCCCAAAAGAACTCTACACCAGTATAATAGTCAAGATTCCAGAAATTCAACACAAGAACAGAATATTAAAAACTGTTATAGAAAAGAAACAAATCACCTATAAAGGAAAGCCCATCAGAATCACAGCAGACTTAACACAAACCCTCAGTAAAGGGAAGCTTGGAGTGAAATATTTCAATCC